CGGCGTTCACGTTCGGCAAAATCCCGTTTTGAACCGAACCGGCGGTCCGGCGTTCGGCCGAAAAGGGCCAAGAACCGGACCGAACCGGACTTGGCCATCACTATTTGTTAAAGCTACTTTATAGCTTTTTAAAAATACTTTCACTTCTTATCCAGGCCCATTATATTATTCTCACCTTCTTCTAGACTTCTGCTCTGAGTTTATCTAGATCAGGCTGTCGTTTTGCTTATACCACCCTCCTCTTGTAGGTTTATCTCTACTATAAATGTTCTTTAAGCTCTTGCTGAACAGGGAATTCTTTCTTCTAGTTAACACCTTAGGAAGACATATTTCTAACAGTCTGTAAGGGGAGCATGTGATGTGACAGCTGTGACTGATCACGTGACTGGTCCGTGCGCAGATAGCCCTGTACTTAAGTAGTTGGCCGTGGGGCTGTTCCCCCGGCTTTGGTATCAACTAGGCACCTGGACCCTCATCCCCTGACACAGTCGTCTCTATTAACAATTTACTTTTCAAATCTCAACCTCTTTGTATAACTTCTAATTAAGTGCTGAACTTTCTAAACTAACTCCCTATCTACACTAAAGCAAACCTCTATTTTAATTATATATGTGGCTCTTTATACATTGAGGTGACTATTTTTTCTTATTTTAATGAACTTAATCTAATTACCTAGCCAATTAATAAGACAGGCGAAGCCTATAAAGCATTAACAGGAAGTGTGTCAAAGCCTTCTACCTTTATAGCATCTTCTAAGGTGAAGATCTCTAAAAAGGTAAATTTATGTTGTCTTATAGCTTGCTTATTTATATTCTTTTTAAACAAAGTTTATTTCCCAGGCTACTTCTGATGCGGCTAGTGTAGCTTTATTATCTAACTTACTTTCAGCTAAAAGAAAGTTATCAGCTCCTGCAGCCTTGCTCTAGCTTTCGTTGCTTCCTATCATTAAACCTTTAACAGTTATTGCATCTAAAACTCTACTGGCTGACCTAGACTTAACCACACCTATAACCATACTTATGGCTAAGGGTAGTCTGATCTTAAAATTTATAAGTTTAAGCAGATTTAGCACATGCAAGCTGTATGATTATTATTACAGCTTTCTGTGGCATACTTGCAGTTTCAGATACATTTGTTTCTGAATGTTTAGCAATAGATGAGAATACATCAATGTGCTGACTTACTTATGCACCTATTGAAGCTAGAAGGTCTTTCTACGTAAATTAGCTGTATAAAACCCATATCTTTCCTTATTGTTGTTGTCCTCTTTTTATGATAATATACATATGATGTCACATGCCTCCTTCCCTTGGTTTACCTTCTCCCAGCTCGCATAATAAACACCTTCCGCCTTGCTGCCCTTAGTAGAGTAATACTTGGGGAAAGATGCTTCACACAAGCTCCCTTCCCGCTTCTTCTCCATCTTTTTTACTACTACTTCACTTGTGTGTTAGTATGCTTGACACCTTCCTAGAGGGTATTGTTGTCGTAACGCCTACAAAGGGACCTGCTCCTATAGTCCATCTTTTCTAGTTGCCATAACACACTCCCTAACGTACCCAGTCAAGCTGTTATTTTAATTCTAAAGTCTAACTTTGTGAAGGCATAGAGACAAAGCGAAGGTTTAAGCTTATTTTTCTTAGTAAACTTGCTGATATGCTTCTAGGGAAGCTCTAGCTGGATGAGACTACTATAAAGGCCGGCTTGTTCTAAAGATAACCGTCTGAGACAACCCAAACCCAATACTGATAGTAAAGTAAAGGTTCTTCTAACACAACAATCTAAAGGGAGAATTATACTAGAGGGTGGCTCCATAGGTCTAAAAATGTGGTAACTGACTCTTGCAAAGCACACTATAGTTAAGCTTCTTTTTCTTTTTCTTCATTGCTTTAAATAATAGTTAGAGTGATATGCATTAATCTCTATTACTAACATTGTTTAAAATAAGATTGTGATTATCCAAACAGAACAGAAGTGGCTAAATGCTCGAGCAAGACTATCTGAAGTTGAAAGAGCATCTTTATGAGTAGCTATTGTTTATTAAAAAAGTCGTTAAGCAATGGCTATTATAGTAAAAAAGACACTATAGACCCTATGTGTTGGAGAAAAGAGTATTTTAATACATTTTAATAGATACTTATTGGTATTGGTAAAAGGTTTTATGCTGTTATCAGACCCCATTTTCAACCTGGAAAAAGACAATGAAAACTATATAGGATGGCTGAATATGTTGCAGTACCTTATTGGGCAGTGATACTATGAGTCAGAGGAATTTATGCTGTCTATATCAGTGCAAGAGCAGGAACAACAATAGTCCTACAGTTGATAGCAGCAAAGGCCACAAGAAATAAGAGCAAAGGGTATACATTTAAAGAAGTGTTGGTTGAGATTATATCAGACATCTGGCAGCTATAAAATGTGAGTCCAAGATAAGAGTTAGCACATACCTTGCCTCTAGTCAAGCATCGCTAGTATGGATTGAGGTTAGTGGATGCTAAGAGGCAGAAGTGTCTTACTCCATCAAAGCTAGAGCATGTAGCTCCAGAACTTGTGCAAGGTCTAGTGGACCTAGGCTAGCAGAACACAATAGTTAATAAGCTACAACTGCAGAGGCAAGTTAACAGCAGGTTGGTAGTTAACTAAAAGGAGCTTGAGAATGACATGCATGTGGAAGGAAGGTGTATGGTGTCATGGTTAATGCAGTTGCCAGATGGCTATTCATAACAGCCCGCCATCATTGGTAGCAGAAAGGGAGAGAGAAAGAGTTAAGTCTCCTAGCTTAGTCAGAGTAGAAAATGATCAAGTGCACAAACACATTAAGGCAAAAAAGACTATCAACACATGTACATGGGATGAAATACTTTGCAGATCAAGTAAAAATGAAATTGGAGCCAAGCAAAAATAAAAATAAAAATGTCTAAAATCGAAGTGAAATCTTATTCTTGTCAGAGCATTTTGGGTTCGGGATTTCACATTTCTGGTTTGGAATTCCACCAGAAATATCTGCTAAACAGTAACAAGATTTCACACAGAGAGGTTTGGCTTTAAGTTATCAGTTGCAACTTATTTGCTTGACAATTTTTAAAAAGATTTGTGGCACTTGAACAGTTAAACCCCAATAATTACAAACAAACTCTAATACCCACTCTATACATCCATGGTAGCTGTTTACACTATGACAATATGGTCAAGTGATCCAGATCTCAATTTATTATAGTTTTTGCTTGCGGGAAACCAGAGCAAATATTTTGTTCATCTAATTATCTAGCCAACATCATTTGGCACCGCAGTATTTGGTTATTTTATCTAGTCACCCACTGAAAAAAGTTCAAATCTTCTTTCAGAAAAAAAATGATTCAAAAATTTCAAACTTTTTTTAGCCGACTTTTTTCACAGAGAAAAATGGTGGAACGGCCTAGTGACGATCTCAGGCCATCAAACTCGTGACATACTGTGACAGCCCATACTGTGACAGCCCATACTGTGACAGCCCATTGACATCGATCTCAGCACTTTACACCGAGCGCCCATGTCGCTGCCTGCGGCGGGTGCAGATCCTCTAGGATACTCGAAGATCATATGGGAGTCGCCACTCAACGTCACCCTGGTGGTTGATTGACATGGCCGGGTTGCTCACGTCGACGGCATTGTCTTCCTCGGACAGCAGCGTGCACCAGGATATGCTTTCTTTTGCGTCAAACTCAGCGCCACGCATGTGGATGTGGAGCTCAGGGCTTGATTGCGTCGTCGAACCTTCATGGTTGGGCACCAAGAGGGCCTTTAAGCGGCCGCGCCGTCCTTTTTCTCTTACCACCACCGTGCCATTTCCGCCCGTCCATGTCGAACTACTGGGACACCTTCCCTGATTTCTTGGCGAACCCAAGCGCGCCGCTGCGCGTGGAGTTCAACCGGCTCGCGGCTCAGGAGCACTGGGGGAAGGACGCGCGAAGAGCCGAGTGGGCACGCTGTGGGATGATGGAGTTTGAGGCCCATTTTGACGATGGGGGCCGTGGAGGGAGTCGTGGCGCTCCCGGCCTCGCGGCGTGGCAGGCAATGCTCGCGTTCTGCGGGTTCAAGAAGGTTCCCGGGTCCATCACGGAGTGCAAACGCGTGCGTGGTCGTTTCCTGCTGTAGTTCGATTACTACTGATGCGCCATCCGATAGATTCTGCGCGCAAATTGCTTCGTGAACATCTATGATATGCTCGACGCGAAGCGTACCGGCTGTGCGCTTATAAAACATGCGTCACGCGCGGCGCTGCGGGAGTACTCGATCGCAGAAGGGAAAGTGTTCCCGAAGAAGCGCGCGAAGAAGAACGCGTTTTTGCGGGTCTTGCTATCCGACATTAACGATAACTTGAAGTGGGGATATTGAAGTCGGTCCGCACTAGCTCCGAATATTGATACAACAATGTCATCCGATCGATGCGAAGGGCTCCAGCCTCTGAACCCAAGCAAAGCAAAATTTAAAGTTGACGTAAATCTCTGAGTTCCCTGTGACTGGAAATTCAGTACTGCTTCAGCTTGGTTGGTGCTTTGAGGCTGTCGATTGAGGGCAAGCTCTGAGCGACTGAGCCTCGGGGGTGAGGTTATTGTTAAGTCTCGAAAGTTGAGCTTTTGCCTGATTAGGTTACTTGTAAGTGAGATGATCGTTGAGGGCATAAGAAATTTGCCTGTTGGGATTTAATGCCGCGATTCTTATACAGTATCAAAGAAAAGAAGGCAAGTAGACTCATTGTTTGTGTTGCCATGTCAACAGGGGATGACTTTGTATATTCCTTTGCTTCCCATGGAGACACACAAATGGCATTGTATTCATTGTACTCCAGAAGATAGATGGCGGATGGCATCAGTGGTTCTGAAGCTTCGACCGCCTTGTGCTGGAGACCGACGGTGTTGTCCTTGTTGTCAAGGTCGGACTCATTGTCCATCCCGCAGGTTATAAAGGTCAAAGAGCGCGAAACAATGAACTGGCGAAGACTTGCACTCGACCACCCCCACATGGCGGCCTTCACACGCGGCGGCTTGTACCCACCCCATTTCCAAGCTGCCCAATTCGAGGCATATGCCCAAGCACCGGCGCCGGTCGAAGCGCTGACATGCCCCGTCGACGACTTCGAGTCCGGCGGGCCGTACCGCGAGCCGCACCGGCGCCGCGCGCGGAACGCCACCGAGGCCGGGAACCGCCGCCTGCGGGGCCTCACGGAGCTGATCGACCCGGCGACTGGCGCGGGGATCCCGATGGCCCAGGTGGCGGAGCCGATCAATGGCGCGGACGTCACGCGGCTCACGCTCACCGCCCCACGGTACACCCATGTGTCGCAGTTCACGTGGAACCTCCAGCCGCTCGCCGTGTTTCTCGGGAACGGCCAGCTCACCGTGTTGAAGCTCGACTTCGACTTCACGCGCAACGGCTACGCGGTATATCGCCTCCTCGGTAGCGCGACCTGTGCACAGCTGGAGGAGCTGACGCTGCGCTGGATGAAGCCGAAGCCGATCGGTGCCGGGGCCGGTGGTGATGAAGTGACGCATGCCGCGCTTGTGGCGTCGCGCCTGCCGCCGCACGACGATTTGCACTATGTGCTGCAGGGTTTGAGGGAGTACATCCACGGCGGACTAGCACAACTGCGCCACATCCGGGTCCTCCACATCGACAACTGGGAGAATGCACGAACACAAGCAGACTCCCATGCAACACTCGACGCGCTCATCGCGCGGCTCCGTACATACCACACCGGCGGAAGAATGTGGACGAAGACAAACTTGAAGGAGCTGAATATTCACTTTCGCGGCCACGTGCGACGCGATGAGGCGATTGGCGCAAAGGTTGATCAGTTGAAGGAAGCGTGTGAGTGGTTGGATGTCGACGTGCAGTTCATCACGATGGCCGAATTTTGATGCGGAGAAGATACGGACATGGATGACGGACTTGTAGTTGTTGTTTGTACTGGCGACTGAATTGGTTATGAGTTATTGAAATTGAATGTCACCGATGAAATTCGGGTCAACCAGCCCTCCAGGGCCTCCCTCCCAGTGGCAACTAGATCCCAGAAGCTTCAGGCCTGAGTATGTGTAAGCATACTTGATATGACGCATATTGGGGAACGCCGACTCGAAGACGGCGACGCCGAGCATCCGCCACTGCTCGGAGATATCGCTCAGCGAGCGTGGCGGGCCAATACGCGTGGACGGCGCTGCCGACCATGTTGTCGGAGGAGTAGGGACCAAGGAAGTGCAGGTGGGACGAACGAAGCTTCAAGTTGGGCAGGTGCAGAGCCTGAGCGAGCTCGGGAAATGGGCTTTGTTACTTCCGCAGCGTCGGAAAGGAAGAAGGACGCACCGATAAGTAAGTGGCGCAAGACGAAGTTACAACGGCCTGTCCGTAGGTTCTTGACGACTCGCGCGAAGTTATACAAATAGCACACAGCCGCGGATGATTGTGTTGCTGACTTCCGAACCGTTTTTGCAGAACGACGGTGTGTCGGAAGAGCTGCGCTTCGCAGGCGAGGCGGAAGAGCCTGGCGGAAGCGAGACAGGCGCACAGCGCTTTGTTGGCCCCCGCCAGGTGGAGGACGATGTTCTCCAACAGCTCTGGTGGCAACGACATGGCGGTCAAGATGAAAGAAGGGAGATCGATGTCACTTGCGTCAGATCGATGACTAATACTCATCATAGTAGGTCTCCACCTCATCTCTCTCTGTCCCTTCAAGCAACGAATACGTCCATCCCATCTGTGGTCGATACTTCACCACGAGCTCCAAGGTCCCCGCGTTAACCGCCTCTTTCACTCCCCCCTCACTGGCCAGCTCTTCGTTCTTTCCCCTCGCCCGCCCAAAATCAATCTCCACCATGCGCAGCGCTTCCAGACCATTGTCAATGGCAGACTGGCCCACTCGCCCGCGCAGTACTCCCAGAATGGTCGCATTCGCCGTCCAAGTGACCTGCGACAGCTTTAGCACGCGCAATAGCGGGACGACCGGCGGGGCTCCCAGCGGCGGCACAAAAAGCTCTAAAAACTCCGCATCGTGCTCATCCCAGTGGGCGGCAAGGCCATGTGGCTCGCCCACCACCGTGAGACTCTCAAGTGTCGGCATTGCGTGGAGCAGTGCTCGGAGATGCTCCAGGCTACACGCTCGCAAAACGACCTCGAATTCGGACAGGCCGCGGATGCTTTCCTTTGCGAGGCGGAGCGGTTCTGCCATGTCCGCTGGCGCTCGAAAGACGGAATGCATGAGCCGGGTCAGTTGCGGTGCGTGTAGTGCACGGAGAAAATGTTTTGCTGACTCTGGGTCATAGGTGTCGATCCGAAGCTCTTCGAGATATGGGAACGTAACCTGGAGCTCCGCCTCTGGGATGGGGCCGAATTCATCTCGAATGCTTATGTCAAGCGTCCGCAGCTGACGCGCATGGACGATGGAAGGCAGGACTTGCGCGCCGGAGTTACTCTCGTAGATGAAAAGCTTGAGGTGGTGAAGATTTGCCCATGGCACGATGCGTGGCGCGGTCGAGTGCTGGCCGGTGTAGTTGAAGCTACGCAGTGAAGGTGTGCGGAGGAAGGGATAGGTGAGCAATGGCGGAGGAGCATATACGTCGTAGCCAGAAGGATGGTGATAGAATGACATCTTGAAGTGTCGCAACAGTGGGACTTCCTCAGTCCGAAGTTGGCCCAGGATGTCGTGCGACTTGTCCTCTGGATGGAACTCGATCTCGAGACTCTGCCAACGACGTGCGTGGGGGATGAGAAGCGCAAGAAGGGGCTGTAGTTGGTAATTGGCCTCTCGCCCGCACATCCGCGATGCGACAATTGAGATTGAAAGTGGGACGGCGCCGGAACAGGCAAGCCAGGTCGACACCATAGCAACAACGCGCGGGACACGTGTCACTTCAGGAAAGACAATGTGCATTGACGCCCAAAGCCGCGGGGTTGTCAACGCCAGCTCCTTCCACGCGCGACACACCCGACACAGTAGCATGGGGCCTTCATCTGCCACAAACGCGGCCGCGCGCGACACTGGCAGTGTTTCGAGGAAGATCGCCCGCACAAGGTCGTCGGGAAGTCCGCGGAGGGGAGAAATAAGCGCCTCGTACCCTCCCGCCACCTCTTTTTGCGCCTTTAACCTGATTTTGCTCTCCTCAACCAGCACCTGCAGCCGCGCGACTTCCTCTTCTAGGCCCGCCAGCTCAGCGAGTGGGGTAGTGAGAAAGACTCGGATGTCTTGACGGTGAGATGCAGTTGGTACAGCATTTGTCGCCAGTATTGACTGGAACGGTGAAGGAGCGAAAGGCGACATGAGTGTCGGGACCAAGTTGTGGTGCTTACGCAATCGCGGCGCGCTGATCCGATGCGCGCTGTTTTTTAGAAGCCACGCGTGATCGCCTCGTGACAATCAATCTATCAGCGAACTGATTACTCGAGCCCTTCCTTTCCTTTCCAGGTGGAGGACGATTTGACGTCTCTAACGGGCTGTTGCAGACGTTGGAAATATCTTTGAGCAAGCTCTGAGTAACATTGGAGTAACAAACGGAATAAGAGGTCCGTGTCAGATCCAGGCCCTTGATCATTATCGATGACGTGGCCACATGACCGCCAATCAACCACTTTCTCTTCTTGACGGCCACCACGAAAAACGCGACGCGACACGATGGCTGTCCAGTCAAGCTTGCTCACAAAAGCCGTCTCCAATGCGATGCAGCGGATTGCACCGACGTTCCTCGCCGGCTCCTGGGACAACGTGCGTGTGCAGTAAATATATCGAGAGTTAACACTGACTCTGGTGTCACAGGTTGGCCTGCTTCTTGGTTGGTTTCAAGTGCATGTGGTTAGCGCGACTCACAATGCCCAGAATCGCCAGCTCCACCTTCTTCCCGGGTGCCCAATCGCGTACTTCTCACAATCGAGCGCGTCACCATTTTTCTACCACATCCTCAACTTACCCAATCCATAGTCTGACGCCTGCCGTCTGTGACGAAGCCATTGCGCTTGGCGCAGGCGTTGTCGTCTCGTACCACACCCCAATCTTCTCGGGCCTCAAAAGCCTCACCCTTTCCACGCCGCTCCAGGCCAGCCTCCTCCGCTGCGCTGCCAACGGCGTGTCGGTCTACTCACCACATTCTGCGCTCGATGGCATCTGGGGCGGTATTAACGACTGGCTCGCCGAGATCATCTCGGGCAGCGCATCCGAACGCCGTGTGTTGCTTCCCGCGACGACAAAGGACGAGGGGGGCGATGGACGGCGAGTAGAGCTCGATCAGCCGACGGAGCTCGACGAGTTGGTAAGCCGGGTGAAGGCCGGCCTGGGCCTGTCCTCCAGTAATTCACTTCTCCGTTTCGCATCCTATCGTTGTTAACTACGCAACGCAGTCCAAGTTGGGTATTCGCCCATCCGTACCGATCGCCTCGTCCGCAGTGTCGCGATCTGCGCTGGCTCTGGCGCCTCCATGTTTGCAGAGGCAAAGGAGCCGGTCGATGTCTACTTCACTGGGGAGATGCAGCATGTAGGTCGCTCTTTAGCACGATTATTTCAGACTTGAATCGATTTTGCAGCATGAAGTCCTCGCTGCTGTCGGCAAAGGCACTCACGTCATCCTCTGTACGCCCGTCCCCGATAACCTCGGTTACACTAGTTAACGTGCCTCCCAGGTGGACACACTAACACCGAGCGCGGGTACCTCCCGCTCCTCAAGGCCAAGCTCCAGGCAGAACTGCTGGGGGACGATGGACTTGGTGAGGTCGAGGTTGTCGTCAGCGCCTCCGATAAGCACCCGCTGGAAGTTGTTTGATGTGATTACTGTGCTTTTTTTTGGAGAATGGATTCATGCCCGCTATCAGGACAGCTCGTTCCGGCTTGACCCCCGCCGACCCCTTGATACGAGCACCCCTCCGAATCCCTCGGATGCTAACTAAGAAAGCCTCACGTCTTCAGGCAGCGTACCCACACACTCTACGCATTTTGGCGAAGGGCCTTGCGGAACTCTCTCGCGCAATGCTGTCAGCCGCGTCTGAGTCAGCAAAGGTAACGGATGCCAGACACAACGACAGCAATTGAGAGTTTTCTTTCCCAGTTCATGAAGCTCCTTCAACTCTCCTCATCGCTTCCAGGTCGGCTCTTGGAAGCACAGAGCCAGTGCTTGCAGCTCTGCAATCGTCACCCCCCCGTCGGTACGAGTATCATGGTGATATGACGACATTTTCGAGTGTATGCGCTATGTCTGGGCCCCTTTGCTTTATCCATTGATTTGTATATAGCAGGATTTCTTCGTTGCCGCAGCCAAATCTCGAAACGCATCAGTAGAAGACAACTTCAAAGAACGTTGTGACTACAGAGTCAGCAGGAATCAGCTACCCAGGTTGGCCAAGCTGTGAGTCTACATGGTGTATCCTTTTGCCCATCGTTTCCACAGAGTCCTGGGTCCGGTCGGGGTATGCATTCCCCGATATTTAGGCCAATTGTCTCTTGATTGCCTCCCACTCCACAAGTTCTCTGTGTCCAACTGTCGGATGACAACGATCGAAATCTCCGAGTCTAAAATGGTGACAGTCCGCATGCAAATCTTCTCACATCATCTGGGTTGGGCGATCCTGGCATTTGTCTGTACTTATTTCGCATTTGCAACTGCTTGAATCACTGAACAGGCTTTTAATGCGCGCTATTTTCGCGACGTGTTTCCTCTCTGCGCACTGACCTCCAGCCTTCCTACCATCCTTGGCCTCCGGGACGATCCCTGCCTCGGTTAGCCTTCACTGGCAACAAACTAGCGCCACACGGAGCGCGCCGCGGAACGTGCAACACGGAGATCATCTGTCATCCTGCAAAGCAATCTGGCCGTTGCTAAGGCCGGCCCTGACTGGTTACGTGGCCGCGGGCCAAGGCTTAGCTCCGGATCCCAGTTGCCTTTGTGGGGGTTGATTTGATGTGATCGCGGGCACGTATTGGCTGTCGTCATTAGCTGCGGGTGAGTTGCTCGGGAAGCACCGTTTAATCACCCCACGGCATCACAGCCAATTACAACGCCCCATTGGCCCCAAGGCGCCCCCGTAAGCGCCTCTTCTCTCCAGATACACAATTGTTATGCAATTACAGGCGGGCTCTCGAGTCCAGTCCGTCGAACTCATTGCGTTGGTCACCCGGGAAGCACCGATGTCGAGGCGTCAATTGCAAATTGCAATTTGACGAGCCAATCAGCAGTGAATTCCGCGTGTAATGCTAACTTGACGAGCCAATCGCGAGACTGCTTTCTAGCTATACACAGGAGGACGCAGATGTTTCGACTGGGCTCTAATTCTCAATCTACCGCCACTGGTTAGGAGATTGCGTGTTTTTCGCGTGTGCGCGCAATTTAATGCGCATCACGAACCGCGATCGTCCTCTGTCCAGTCTGCGTTGACGGAAAATCGGTACACCCTGCACAAAATTTGTAGGTGCCGCCCGACGTGGTCTGTGATTGGTTGGCGAGCGCTGATTGCAGTATCACGCGGAAATGGCTGCTGATCACGGATCAGTGATCTCGTGCCGCGGCCCGCAAGGTGAATCCCATCGGCGCTCACTGCTTCGTTTCCTGCTGGAGACACCATGTATTGATGCGCGCCGATTCATATAGTGGTCTGATAATTCGGGTTGCAACGGGACTTACGGTACCCTGTTCCGAGGGTCTCAGTCTCAGTCTGGGGAGTGTGCCTCCTGTGCTCGTTCTAGCCATGGCCACGCCATCGATATGCGCTATCGCCATCGCTATCGCCCTAATCGCCTCGCCTGGCCCCTCTCCGCTCATCCGCTGACGCTGCATTCCCACGCGCGCGCCCACCTCGGCGTATCCTGTCACCCGGGGGCAATAAATCTGAGGCGTGGGAGCGCCGCCGGGCTTGGAACTGGGAATGGCAGTTGACGCCCACGAGCGCGCGTGGACTGTGGAGAGGGGCGAAACAAGGTTTATGCGGGTCGTGAATGGCCGACAGGAGAGGGAATAGGATGTGCCGTGGAAAGTTCGCTCGCGTGGCGGGCGGGCAGGGGTAACGAACTCTGTGGGTGCCTTGCTCACTACAAATGGTGCGCTGGAATGCGCGATTTGTAGGCCTCCAGACCGTGTGGCGGCCGGTTGCTTTCAATTTTGCCTATACAATAAGTATGTGGGCCTAAGCGATCGCCAGGGATCTCCAGCAGATGTCACCGTCAGCCGCCTGGAAATCTGATGCTGATTGGGTCGTCCGAATTGATGCATGGGGCTTATCGTTGTCATCGCGTATCGGGCATTTCTTTTTTTGAGCTGCTCCTCTTTTGTCGTCGTGCTCTCTTCTCTTTACCTCCACCATCCTCAGGCTCCAACCCCCGCGGGCACACCCAGGTATTCGACGATGGCGTTGCGGCATTCTCTCGCGGGCACGGGCATGGGTGACGACGAGCACAGCCCCGGCCACGCGCGTGGTGCTATAATTGGCGCTGAGGTCGGGGGCAATAGCGCTAGCGCTAGCGTAAACAACGGGTACTGTAAGTTCTTCTGTTCTCGCTCGTTTTGTCCGTTCTTTCATCTTCTCGGACCATCTTCCGTTGGTCTCTGCGCAACTACTACCAGCGATGCTCACGGCCGCTTTTGCCCCCGCAGACGTGCCTGGCCCCGCAAGCTACAGCGTATACGGCTCCGAGCATTACGCGGCTAGTGCGAATTCGAATCAGCACATGGGCTATGGCTTCGCTCATACGCTTGGCGGCCACGGACACGGGTTTGCAGAGAACCACCACCACCACAACACCCACCACGACCTCCCGCGTCTACACATCCCCTCTGCCGGTGGCTACGCCACACCGACTCACGGGCACACGCCCACACACACCCACGAGCAGGCCCAGACCCAGCCTGGCCTTTCCCTTTCACACTCTCTTGCAAGACCCCCCGCTTTCCTCCCGTCGCAACACCACCAGCTCCCCCTGCCCTCTTACGCATACGCAGCCCCAGCATCGTCGCTGGCCATCGCAGCGTCGAGCAGGGCCCGTGCCCGTCTGACGCCATCGCCGCTTTCCGCCGCGCCGGGGCCCGTCACTGTGCCTAGCAACGACCACGCCACCGCCAACTATCAGATCCCGATGCAGATGACGTTGGGCCCCCCGGCTGCCTCGGGCGGCGGTCATCCGCCCACGCATAAACGGAAAGAGCGAGATCAAGACACCGACGAGGATGAAGAGGAGAAAGATGCAGAAGGCGAGCCGGACAGCGAGAGTGGGAGCAGCGACGAGGAGCCACGCGCGAAACGACGGAAGGGGGCGGAGAAAGGGAAGGATAAGAAGACTAACAAGGGCGGGAGTGCCCGAAGGACGAATGCGAGCGCTGTTATTGCCTGCCAGCAGTGGTGTGTACTTATTTCATTGGACTCGTTCTTCATACCGAGCCTGGCTAATATATTTCCAGCCGTTCACGCAAGATTCGCTGCGACTCCACGCGCCCACACTGCGCCAACTGTAGTCGGCGGGGGGAAGCGGCAAATTGTGCTTATGACGCCGCCCCAAAGCGCCGCGGCCCAGACAAAAAACCGGGAACACGGCAGCGTCGGTGTAAGAAGAAGATCGAGGAGGACCGCCGCGCAGCGGGTAGTGAGGAGCGGGGAAGTGCAAGTACGGGCAAGAGACTGAAAATCGTGACGGATGTGGGCAGGGTGGTGAGTTAAACTGTTTGCAAGGGAGCTGATATTAATACTAATTGGCCAGGCTCACGCCGAATCACCGATATCGGCTAGTATGGTGCCCTCACAGCGACATCCTACACCAACGTCCACCACCGCCCTGCCTGCCTTCGCATTGCCGCTGCCGGAGGCCGGCCCGGAGGCTCATCCGAAATTTCCGGTTCCATCGGCTCTCATACAAGCCGCGCAGGCCGCTTGGTGGGAGCGTTTCCTACGAACATACACGTGCGTTTGATGATTCCCTCTGTCTCAGTTTCCCTCATGCGTCATCAGCCTGCGCGAGATTGCAACGGACCTCGACGCGCTCTACACCGAGCCGGGGCCGCTCCTCTCCCTCTCCTTCGCCAATCCACGCTTTCTGCTCGAGACCCTGTGGTCACCATCGAGAAGGTTAAGTCTGCAGCCCGCCTTTGTGCTTGCGAGTATGGCGGTAGCAGTGCTACTTCGCTCCCATGACGGGCCGGGCGGCGCGGGAAAAGCCGGAAGGGAGCGGGCGCGGCAATTGAGGGAGGCAGCGGGGGAAGCGTTAGAGGCTGCATGGGGCGATGGCAGTGGGGATGGCGAGAGGTGGGTGGATGCGAGTTTGGCCGAGGCCGCATTGGTCAGTCGTCCCCTTGTCTTCTTTCATATTGCTTGACGGTCATCGTCTAGCTCTTGGCACACTACGAAGCTTCCGCGCATGCCGACTACCACCCTGATCGCGTGCTGCAAGCACTCTCCTTGCTGGACCAGATTTTACATGCGCTGCAGCTCCCCGCGCTTGACGCTGGCCGGCCGGACGTGTGCCGCTTTGCACAAGCGACGCCCCCGATCGTTCTTCCGCCTCCGCCTGCGTATCAGGCATACTCTTCCTCGTCTTCGATGTATCCCACCTCCCCGCCATCAGATCCAACATGCACGTGCCTCCCGCCGGGGACACCCGCTCCGGCCACAGCTGGGGCTCAGGCCCGCGCACTCCCATGGGACCCGGCTTGCGGTGCACGTGCCTTGCGCGATGAGGAGTGCCGCCGCGTGGTGTGGGGCGCTCTCTCGCTCGCTACCAGCATCAGGACGGAACGTCTTGCGCTCGGTCGCGGGGACCCGGGTGCCGGGCTCCGGATATGTGAACCTGCTAATGTAAGCGCGACCATCCGCACTGTGTACCTACTCACATCGACACAGTACCTCGTCCTTTTCCCGAATGAGCTTTACGCAGACCGGGCCGTCGCCGGCGTCAAGGCCGACTTCGCCGCGCGCAAAGGCTCGGTGTGGGCGTTGTACTGCCGCTCACTGTTATTGGCCAACTTCTGCGGTAACGCCGTCGAGCGCGAGCGACAGCGGGCATCTGCCGTTGTCCCCAGCCACTCCCCGTACGACTACGCTCCCCGGGCAGAGCATGATGCGAAGGAGACCCTGAGTGAGGCCTTGACTGAGGCATGGAACGAGGCGCAAGCGATAGCAGACGCATTGGACGCGCATGTCTGTGGAACTTATGCGGCCGTCTCGTACTTGTGTCGCGAGAACATTGCCAAGTGTGTCCGCTTATCTTGAGATTAGATAGGATTGCTGATGATGAAATAGCACACGCATGATCATTGCGCGAGGCCTGCGCGCCGTCCAAGGGCTAGACAGTGTCGCTCGCCCGCGGCCACTATTCACGCGGCGTCAGACGCGCGAATGGGTTGAACACCAAGCAACTGTGATCGCTGACATCACGCGGTCTTTGTCGCCACCTCCCCCTCACTCACACTCACACTCGCCTGAGCTGGCCCACGCGTTGCACTACCCCGTGGTTCCCAGTAACGTGACGGGCGGCACTCCGCCAGACGCGCGGGCTGCGCAACTGTTACACCGCCCATTCGCGATGCCGTGGTTCTACCACCAACTCGCGCTGTGTCTCCTCCTCTGGGACTCTGCAGATTCGGGAGACGCATCTGTAGAGGTGCTTGAGCTGGGAAAGGGGATTCTCCAAGCGCTGGAGCGGATGCAGGCAGTTTGGCCGTGCGATTGTACGTGCACGGCCCACGCTATGGTAGACATTTCACTCACCCATGTCCAGACATCTCGCGCCAGACCGCGGACCTCCGCGTCAGGCTCACCCACGCGTGTCTCTCTGCATCCCTATCCCCTCCTATTGCTGCCCCGCCATTCTCCTCAGCGTCGTCTTCACCCGTATCGCTCACCCGCAGCAGCCCTGCTGTCCCCGCGCAGGTCCCGATGCCGCTGACGGTGCGCCTCTCGCCTGCACATCAGCCAATGGCCAGCTCACTCCCGGTCGGCGTGCCTATTTCGACCACGCGGCGCGGCGCCTTGTGAATTACGTTCTCCAATATTCGGCTCTTTTCGGTTCTTTGTATTTCTCTGAGCGTCCCAACTGTGTATCCATAGATATCCTTCAGGCTTTTCCCTTACATATATTACATTAGTGCAGTATATTTGCTGTGTTCTTTTTCATATCAATATACCCTGACAGTACCTTGAAAAAGTAGCAGCTAATATTCAGCAGTTTCAACTAATATTAGGGACTCAGGTTAGTGGTTGGAGAGTGCAGGTTACACCTAGTTCAACACCTGCTCTCATGTTCAGCTCAATCTTTACCTGGCCCTCCGAGTCTAACATCATCACCTTCTGCCCTTTCCCCTTTATCTTTCACCCTTCACTCTTGTCAGCACTTGCTTCTTATCTTACACCTGAATAGACAGAGTGTCTATGAATCTATGATAATGTTGGCCTCTTGATTCTGACTCTTTTCTTCATATATACCTCCAAGTATCACAGTCAAGTACCTCGCCACTGCCTCGGTTGTGCAAAATGGTGACATTACCTAGGTGGGGCAGACATTGGGCGGAAACTTTGAGAGCAATGGGGATGGAGGACATCAAAATAGTAATGTTGGTTGGCATGGTGGTCGCTCTCCTCAGAAGGGCGTTGTAAACCTTGGTTGGGGGATCACTGCAGGACACTTTGCAGTTGTATACCTGTAAGCCTGGCTTACATACTTACCTGTAGATCACATGTTCTTCAGTTACTTACCTCTGTGTTCTGTTATAGTCCTCAAATCCAGCAAGGTTCTGTTGTATTGCTTGGTTTTGCTCAGTGTTTCCTGGTTGGGCCACCAGGTTTCCAATACCAACATACATATTATACATACGTAATATGGACAGAGACAAGTTCATTGCTTTAAGTAATATACTTTCATTATTACAGTTACAAGCCTTGGTTGAACCTTTTTGTGAAAAGCTAGATTGCAAAGAACCCACTTGCTATAAGGATAACCTCAGAGGCCTAAGATCAAGGTCCTAGCAGGGGAGGATCCAAAGAGAAGAAACTCTAAGGGTCCACATGCTAGGTAGCTTGTCGATCCGCGGATCGGAGGCGACGGACCACATAAATACATCTATTGATCCGCCGCACAGCCTCACCGTTCTCTTCCCGAACCGTGAGGTATGTGCGGGCGCGTCGCGACTATGTACTATATACTAACTTCATCCCAGCAAGCCTAAGCTAACTGGGTGCAGGTTCAATAGGTTATGGGCCTTTGCATTTGAACACGCTTGAATCTCGTACATCGCTTAGCTCCTTTGCTCGATTTCCACCTCGCCATACCTCACCTTCTGCGATACCATGTTTTCACACCCTTCCAACCCTTTTGTCAACACATACGATGACTCATTGAAGTGACAGGGTTTTATGTTAGAATGTACAAACAAACTGAGAGAGAGAGAGGTATATACTGTAAGGGCAACCCCGGAGGCCTGAGATCAAGGTCCTAGCAGGGGAGGATCCAAAGCGTGAACATTGGTAAGCAAATACAAATGAAGCTGACCTAGCAGGGGAGGATCCAAAGAGAAGAAACTCTGAGGGTCCGCCTGCTAGGGAGCTGACTATATACTGCTTGTCCGTAGCTGCCGCTGTCGGGCACAGAAGGCTTGGGCGGTGTCGCAGACCTCGATGAGCGACAGCCCAGAGAGGCTATAAGGCCATAGGCTCGAGGTCTCAGAGGAAAGTGGTGTGTCCACATCCGGAGAGGTCTCCGATGGCATTAGTGATCCCTGATGGTGACTCCGGAGAGACTCCCAGAAAGGGGTGGCCATGGGAGTTGGAGGTTGGGGACCACTGGATGCAGGATGTGGTAGGAGAAGTGGAGGAGGAGCGTCAGGGTGCAGGAATACAGAGACTCGGGTGGAGACACGGAGACGCGAGTGGAGACGCAGAGACGTGAGTGGAGATGCGGCGCTTGATGGGATCAAGTGACGGCATCAGGGTTTCCCCTGACACACCTGTGTGGCCCAGTACTCACCGTCAGTTATCGGGTCCACCGCGGCGGGTTGGACCCGATAAGCCACAGTGTTATCAAGCACCACCATATTAATGAATAATTACTGGTTAAAGGTATGAATAATTTTGACAATTTTCAGTGTTGCACAGGTTTCTACCATACAAGTACACCTTATCATTCACTTCATGCTATGAATAAAAATCCTGTATTATGAACAGTGATAGATTTTTTTTTCAGTACTAATGCTAGGTAGAATGATGAAGCAAACAAGAATAAGTAAGTATCTGGTCATTACTTCAGTCATCTGCCAAACTTGAATTCCCCCGATCTCCCTGATCCAGTCCCAAGATCGAAAGTCTATAAGCCATACCAGATACTGCTTCAAGCTCCTCCTCCTCCTCCTCCTCACTCTCTGCATCTGTCGGCCCCTGCTCCAGTTCCTCCTCGTTGCTATCAACATCGACGTCCATAATGCCACCATCTGCCGAAGCCACTCCGACTGCCTTTCCTGGTCGAAGACTTCCAGTGAACCTCCTGCCACACTTGCGACGGAGTTGGCGGAACTTGGCGAGATGGCCTTCGTCGCGGATGCTGCGCCGCTCATGATACATTTGAACTTGCACTGCTAGAGCAATGTTCCCAGCCGCTCGAAGATCCCGCTCTTGCTGTTGAAGAAGCCGATTCTCATCGCGGATCCAGGTGATAACACGCTGGATTTCAATATTGAGGCGCTTGATTTCTTCGCGCGCTCGCTCCATCTTGAAGTAACGGTCCATGAGCAGACGAAATGCTCGCGTCGCCCACTTCTCTCTCCCTCCAGAGAGTTTGTGTCATCTCTAAGGAGGTCGAAGTCGGATAAAAAGGCATAATCAACGACGTCGGACCAAGGCAATGTTGTGCGAGGGGGGACCATAGACTCGGCAACCTTGTTATATTGCAAAACAGCATTCCGAACCGCTGTCGAGCGGTTCTGTAGGGACTTTGCAATAAGGCGTCGTTGTTTATAGCCTAGATGATGTTAATGATGATAAAAACAAGTAACATTAACAAGGACGTACATGTGCCGGACTGGTTTATCTTAGTGAGCTCAAGCAAACGCTGAACTACCAGTAACTCGAGGGTGTCGATCGCCTTGCGGTATTCGTAATTTCGAGTTTCATCTACTGCCGCAATCCATTCCGCTGAGCTGGATGTCCAACGATTCTCAATCTCAAGGTCAACCTCTATTTTCTCAACTGCCTCCAGATCGCGATGAAGTCGATCTTGCGCGTGGCGTATTTGAATATTGATTCCGGAGTTGTTTGGCTGATAAGACGCGTCAGGACTATTAGCAGCAGCCTTCTGTCGCATCAGAGCGCTGAGTTTAGATCTTGTAGCCCGTCAGTGCATTGTCAAAGATAATAGAAGGAATACTTACCGACTTTCGTTGAGCTTCTTCAATTTTCGCAAGTACTCCATTGAGCCGGTCTTGGCTTTCGCTTTTGAACTGGCGCAAAGCTTCGCAAGATACTCCTGCTCTCGAAGCAGCGCGTCCTCGAACTCCTTCACATCATGGATGCCTTGCAGCGCCATTGCATCGTCGAAGTCCAATTCGCCATCAAGGATGTCCAAAGCTTGGATGTAATTCTTGCAGAGGAAAGTACCTTTGTGAAATCAACAATTGCTTTCATATACTCGATGGACTGGCTTACTTATATTCGCATAGGTCTCCGCACTGTCGGTGTATTGAAAGTATGACGTGATCTCCTGTTTCCAATGGAAAGGAGTGGCGTATCTGCATGCGTTTGCGAGCGTGTTGGAGCGGGAGAAGGCACGCTCACAACCCTCGAAGTCCTCCAAGCCGGCGCCCTTGATGTACAGGGGAAGGTGCGTAAGCTGGCAGGTGCGGTTGTGGGCGTGGCCATGAAAGAGGCCTACAATACACTTGAGGCCAGCTTCCTCAGCTTCAGCCCCCAGCCGACTTTGACTAATCGTTGTTTCGATGCTGCAACCAATGTCGTATGCGAGCAAGGTGTCGTCGTCGAGATTATCGAGTATAGCCTTCGTAACGGCCAATGGATATTTAGACCTGGCCATAGTCAGCGACTTTCAAATACTATTGTACGAGCACTTACAATTCACCGCTTTTAACCATTTCCACAATGACCTGGGAGAATCCGTGTCGACAAAGGCAAAGGAAGATGCCGGTCTGGTCGAAGACAGCCCACATTTTGGAAGTGAGCTGGTCAGACATGTTATGCCATCTGTCTTCGCATGGATTGGGCTTCGAAGCTTCTGCCGGGGTAGTCTGCGCTCGCTCTTTAGCCCAAACATCATCGACCTCCTCTCTTGATAGGAAGTACGTCCCGCTACCATCTCGATCGTCATGCCGCTGTCTCCCAGATCGGTTGCCATCGACGCGCTTCAAGGAGTTATTCCCGTCGATTGTGAGAAGTCGGTTGTATGGAAGCTTCTCTTCTCCTTCGAGCTTATGTGAGCAGGCTGGGCAATCGTGCTTCATCCGCCACTTAAGGCTGTTACGACCAAGAAGTTGGAGCACAGAGTTTTCGGCCTCGACGACGGAGGTCGATATATAAGTCATACGCAATGGAGAATTGCATACGAAGATGTTGCCGGTATGGGACACGTTGCAAGTCGCAGATGGTCTTGACGAATGCCTGTATGACGAGTCGAGGGCATCTTAGATGCGCCACCCGAAAGAGCTCGAGTGTTTCAATCGTGATGACGACCGATGGCATGGTTGGGGAGCAAGGCATAAAGCCGCGGGCAATGAGGGCAGCACATTTGCCATTGTGTTGTTGCTCTAGCACAAGTGATACTCTCCTACGTGCTTGTTCAAGGTTAGATAGGTTTGGATGGTGAAAGCTGTTTTGACTCACTGAATAAACTGACCACGGTCAAATGCAATATCGACCCTTCAGTGGCCTCAGCCCAACGAACGACTTCCTTTTCACCTTCGTCAACAGCGCACCAGCCCATGTAGCATGCCAGCATAGCATCCATCTGCTGGCGAAATCCATTGACTAGCCTCTGGGTT